GTTACTTCTCTTTTCCACTTCGTGTGAGACCATTGTGGCACCTTTGGGCCGCCAAAAAAATTGGAGGCCAGCAGAATTCTGAATTCAGAGGTGACCGAAGCCAGCAAGGCCTGCTCGTGGTAGGATTTCTACGTGTCTCCCTGCTCTTCAAATTCTTTCTTGGAGAGCTAGATTTTTAGCTCTCAAAGTTGTTGAAGTTAGTTGGGTCGTTTGACAGCAACAGCAACGACAACAACACACAACAAACCATGCCGCGACGTCAAACTACCAAGAATTCGAGGACTCCTCCTCCATTACCACCCGACACCCTTAAGGATGAACAGTTGGAAGTCCCATTGGACGAGATCCCACCAGATGCCGAAGAATCCTGGCTCAAGAGCAAAGCTAGAGCGCTTTTGATGCAAGATATTATCAACAATGTGATTCCGAGACAGCCCGACAAAGCAATGCCAACCAGTGAGATCTTTACAAGCCGTCCCGAATATGCTCTTCATGGGTACAAAAACTTCTCGACACGACTTTCAAGCCTTTGAAAGATTGTGAAGCGGCACCTCTCTAGAACCGATGATGACAAGGCTGCATTCAGCAATTTCCTCACAAACAATGTTGTGCACAAATTCTCTGCTCATGGTTACCCGGAATGGGATGGATCAGAAGCAAAAAAGCGATTGGAAGAAGACATCGAGCTTGGCTTACTCGAGACGCTAGAACCCGCGGAGCTTTGGTGCCTTCGAGATGAATACGATCCTTACCCCTTGAAAGTGTTTAGAGATCACATCTATTAGCTAGCCAAAATAAAGAAATACCTGCATACATTGGATAGGAAAGGAAAGAAGCGCTTGAAACCAAAGATAAAGAAGAAGAACAAATTCTCCTAGCTGTCGATAGATGGAGTACGGTCATAGTCGTCTTGTAATAGCTACTAGTTGTGTCGTTGAAAATTGGCTTAAAGACTTAGGACAAGATGAAAGATTTAGAGACAGCAACCTTGTCCTATATAACAAGACCGGAAGAGCCAATCCGGCTTATAGGACAAGATTTGAAGACAAGATTGAGAATTAGGACAAAACTGTGTTTTTAATCTTGTCTTATTTCAAAATTAGACAAAATCGGAAGCACGACTGACAAGTTACCGTGATTTCCACAGCGTTCCAGTAGCTTAGAAGCAGATACCTCTAGTGCTTAGCTAGTGCTTAGCTTGCGCTTAGCTAGCTAGAAGTAGATCCCCCCTAGCTAGAAGCAGATTCCCATAGCAAGCTAGAAGCAGATACCCCTAGCTAGCTAGAATCCTAGTTATATAGCGTTCGCTGGCTTTAGAGTTTTTCCTGGTAGAAGCAAACCCCCCTACTAGTAGGATGCATGTAAATAGCTTTAGCTGATTTTTAAAAGCACCATCCTAGCTAGGATACCTATTTAGTTTTGCTGACTTATTTGTATTCTAACCCTACCCTTATACCTGCAGGGACCACCGTAGCAGGAAAAACAATTAAAGGCGTTGAGGGCTCTGGCAGCAAGACTGCCGAGGTGAAGTACTACTACTGACTAGCTAGTGGTCTAGCTAGTAATAGAGTGCTTAGAAAAAACACGGACTCCTGCACACATTGTAAGAAGTACGGTACGGGTACTAACGCTCGGCTCTCTTTCCGTGGGAGGTGGGAGCGGCTAGTAGGGGGGATCAGAGTACGAACAGGAGGGGCGGTGTCCTATGGTGCGCACAAATCTAGGTCGGTACCCCCCAGCCTTTTGAGCTGTGGCGTGTGCGCTACAGGATGACTTTTTTCACCGCTGACAGGTGTCAAAATGAATTCTCGTTTTGGCCAAACCAAAATCAGAAGCGGTCATTTCTGACAAAAAAAGGTCATTTTGCGAATCCTGCATAGCAATGATTACTTCCTAGAAAGAAAAGATTGAAGAAAATAAAATGCATTTTACCACCATGGCAACAGTGTTGACCAAATGGCTATTAGCTTTACCAATACATTGATCTGATTGACTCTTTGCTAGCAGTAGCTCCCCAACACACTCACAGGCACTCTCCTTGAAAAGAGTCAATCAACTCCAAGGTTTTCTATGGAGCCTCTATGAAAAATCAGGCTTGGATTCCATTTTGTTGTCATTCTACCATGGATTTCTCTATGGGAAAGGTGATCCTGTCCTCACTCTCAGCACTCAATCTGCACTGTAGAGTCTAGTAGAGGACTGGGAGGCTTTGCATGAAGACTGGAGCACCCATCCCAAAGGTTCAAAGAGGGATTCCAAGGCGGCAAAATTGAGCTGATTTCATGTTTGTAGTCGGCCGATCACTCAAAGCAGTAGTAGTGACGCTGCGGCTTGTTGCATTAGTAGTAGCACTAGCAGAGGCTTCACGGCCGCTACTAGGGTACCGGTAGAGGCGTCATGGTTGCTCGGTGCAATTGGCTCCGTGATCGATCGATCGATCCACCGAAGGGAAGAAGCAGGTTGTTTCGTCCTTGCCATTGTCAAGGGGTCGCTTGTTCCAATAGTAGTAGTAGTCGCTTGTTGTTGCGGTAGAGGCGTCATGGTCGCTTCGTTCGCTCGCTCCGGTGTCATGGTCGCTCCCTGGAAGAAGAAAGAAGTCATCCACCGAATCGATCCGTCGGCCGATCGATCGATCGAACGGCTGCCGCTTCCGCTTCCACTTTCGAGCCTAGCTAGGCAAACAAGAGGAGCCTGTCATGGTGGTGAGTAGTAGCCTTTGTTAAGAGGAATAGCCGCTACGATATAGAGGAGATAGCATCATCTCGATAGAGTCGAAGAGAGTAAAGGTAACGAAATAATGAAAGAGGTGTACGAGTGGCTTGGATCGATCGATTCGATTCGATTGGATTCCGAGATGTCAGTTGATGGCTTTAAGTCTTTTCACGGAACGTTCCGGTTCGCATTAATGTCTTACGGGAGCGGGCTTGGTTTGTCTCGATAGTTTAGATTCAGCTGTACAGGTCTGCTCTGCTTCGGTGCACACTTGCTCCTCCAAATCTGCCGCCCAGAAGAATTTCGACTCTTCTTGCTTAAAACATTGCCCTCTTGCGGCCCCTGGTGGATGAATGGTAGATTGCCATCTCGTTCTGGCAGTTTTTTGAGCTGTTGAGGTGTTGGCGCTGTTCGGCGCACACTTTTGCTCCATGCAAATCTCTCGTTTTGACCCAGGAAGACGTAGAAGCCGTACTACTCCGGCGATTAAGTTGAGAATTCTCAAGTTTTTGTACAGGCTGGCTTTGACTTCTCAATCCACCAAAACCAACCTGTATTTCTTACGTTTTGACTTGAAGGCCTTAAATTTAGGAACACTATTGGATATGTAAACCCTTCCTTTAAGAACTCAACGGGAATGATGAGTCCTGCACGGACAACATTGCTAGCCTGACCCCTAACTATCCATATTAAAGATTTATGCGAAACAGAAAAGACTTAACGAGCAAAACATAGCCTCAACCCTACCGCAACTACAAGCAGCTGCAGGAGAAACTGTAATCAGATGTCGCTGTTCATCATTTCCATTACCTCCACTGACGATGGTATCAAGATGATGTACCTTGACCCGATCCTCTTTACTCTGAATACTCCTTTTGATGAAGTCTCCACAATGACAGGCTCCTCTTGTTTTGGTTATGCTGGAAACAGCGACAGGATGCTTCTTGCGTTCGATGGATGAATGACTGCTTCTTCACTTCTACGGCGCTTTCTCCGAGTGACCATGACGACTCGACTCTACCGGTACCGTACGATACCACCAGTATTAGCGGCTACTATCAGTAGCAGAAGAAAAGCTCGGGTTGAGTCTTCTTCCATTCCATTTTACGTACTGTACTACTTCTTCGGTGCACAGCGTCTTTCGTTCGACGACGGCCGTTCGACGACGACGGCTCTTTCGGTCAATGTAGGACGGCTGGCTCCTCTTCAGTCGTTGTAAATCGCATAAGAACAGCAGCTTCACTCTCACCAGACTTTCTTGGCCACATAGGTGCATACATGGCTGCAATGTTGGGCTTGGTTAGACTGGAATTGGACTCTAAGATCGCCTGGAGTCTGGCAGCACCAATAGAAAATGCAAAAATGAGTTCCCCACTTTGCTAGTCGTTTGTTACTTCCATGGCTGCCAAATGGGCAAGCCACTACCACCACTGCGACCGCCACATCCAAATTATGTCTTCCCTATCTCAAAGTATTGCTGGGGTGACTCTATCCGTTAAACTGCTAGGGTATCTTTGACAGCCAAATGTGGTGTGTGTATTGATGAGGATGTGCCCAAGCAGGAACAAGCAGATAATTTCAAAAGTGTGGCGACCTGGTGTTTCCACAGTGTTCCCAGCGAATTCTCACCATTTTTTTAATTCTCAACTAAATCGGCGGAGTAGCGTATTAAGTAAAATAAATGTTTACTCTGCTCTAGTTAGTTATTACCGCGCCTACCTGACTCCCAGAAACGTTGGTAGTCGGTGGTTTCATCCTGAGCTTCGACTCTGCTTTTAAGCCTGGCCCCGGCTGCATGGCTTCCGTAGATAATCTAACTCCTCGAAACCCCCGTAATCATAGCTTGACGTGGTCTATGCCAGGACCGGGTGAGTGGCGAGTGACTCCCCTACATTGCTCCACGGCCATACGTAGCGGCGACGAGAACGGTACGGTACATCCGGTATAGTTAGCTAGCTACATGAAGACATGCAGACACCTTTGGGAATCAGGTACATGTAGGTGAAACAAAATCCGTGCATATTCTGAAAAGCATAGCAATACGTTTACCTCAACTACCCTTCTTAAGCAAGCAATTCATTCCATAAAAGCCTTGGTAAACTTCACCCAGTACTGTTTGGTCAGTTTTTCCCAACGATAGGAGCCCTGCAATATCCTCCTGTATTCCGCCTCCAGCCATTCATTTGTCAAGTTGTCATAGTGATCAATGAATGCCACCGGAAGAGCATCAAAAATGCGAAACCACCTGTCATGGGTGCGATTCCGGGTCTCAATCACAGGAATAGTGCCCATGTACAACATTTCATAGTTCCGGTAGCAATCCATTCCCCAACCTACAGGGGAAAGCATAAACTTGGCTTGACTTATGTTGTGCAAATACTGCATTCCGTCCTGCAAATGCTGCATATCCGAGTTCAGGGGAAGTCTTCGTAGCTTGTGGCGCCAAAATAGGAGAATGCCTCGACGAATCCGCCGGGCACGAGACAATGGATGCCAGGCATCTGGATGGACATTATCAAGGCCCAACAGTCGCTCATAGCTGTTGGGTACTTGCAATCGTTTGTGCAGAGACTGCAATTGGCGTATGCGAAAATCCCATTTCTGGTAGCTTATGTACAGCAGGACCGGCCTTGGTTGGTAGGGCTGTTGTCTTTGAATTAGTCCAGAGGTCAAGTGTGAATTCACAGATGCTTCCAATCCCAAGGAATGGAATGCCCTTTTCATATGAAACATCTGTGCTTGGGTAGTGATACTGCCTTGGTATTGGGATGGTTCAAGTATAGTTAGTATATTGTCCATTTTGATCTAGCATTCCTTTTGTTTGATTTCAAGTCGCCTGGTGTAGTTTGGATGCAGATAAAGTCCATGCGTCCACTCGACCGAAAAGGCTCCCCAATCTCGACTGAGATAGGCAAACAGAACATGTGACAAGGCTGTAGCATTTGGTTGTTGATAGTATTTGTAAAACAACGTGGCTGCCCAACACAAACCATCGGGCCCATCCTCGTCGGGGAGATGAAAGTAGCTGTAGTTGGTCAGTCGATGCAGTGGTGGTGAAGGATCTGCTGTCCTGTTCAGTACATAGAACTCAAAATGGTCCAGATACTGATGAAAATCTTGACGGGCTCCCCAGTCCAAAAGATTGGATTCCTCCACGTTTTGGAGTACTTGCAGTCGTTGTGTGTGGAATCGCATTTCCAGGTCCTTCATGATGTTGTCATCGCTTCTGGTCCAGTCGTTTTGCGATAGGGAAGGCACTTGTGACAGTTGTATCAACACCAGCGCTGCACAGAGGGAAATCCATACACGTAGAGCTCTCTGAGAACCCGGTACTGGTAGCCATCGTTGTTGTTCACCGACTCGCAACATGTCATGGTCGCTACTGCATGAAGAGGTGGAAAAAGTTTCAAATTGTTCGGAGGCTCTACCGCTTTGCTATCGATAGCTAAGTCGGCGAGGGAACTCAAAGGGCCAACCGATTGAGTCGATTCGATTGAATCATTCAAAGATCAAGCCTGGCCCCGGCTGGCTTCCGTAGCTACTCGTACTCTAAAACCCCCCTTCATTCAAAGATTGAAGCATCTATTATACGATCAGTTTTGTTTGTTTGTTTGCCCTGACCGGTACCAAGGCCTACAGTGGGGAAGCTGTACGTAGATGTAACTGTCAAGAGTCCCAGTCCCAGTGCAATTACATGTACTTATTAGAAGTAAAAACATGGGGCTCCACTACATACATCGTAAGAAGTACTGGCGCTATTATTTAATAATATGCTCGGCTATCCTTCCGCGAGACCGGCCAGGCGGTGCAAACGGCGAGACATGTTCTTATCGCGCCGGTACCGGTACTGGTAGTTGTTGTAATGATCGGGTGTAACGATACCGGCAGGTGCAAGAAACCAAGTGATCCACATCCCAATGAGAGATATTGGATGTCACGACGCGAAAGTATCGACGATGTCCCGGTTGCGTTGGTGGTGGTGCTTCATGAGGCGTGTCCAAATGAGCTTACTTGCACCCAGTGTGCGGACTTGGCCCAGCAGTTGACACAGGTGCTCACAACCACCATGACGGTCGACAAAATCCGCTCATTTGGCGGTCCACCCAGGCATTCCAAATGCGACTCTTGTCGGACGCCATAAACATGCCACCCTCAAGACTGGTATGGTAATGGAACCCACCGACCATTGCCGGGTACGTGGTATCCATTTGCTTCGTCCGAGAAAATTCCTGGAGCCTCGATATGCAGACCTTGCCTTCGTTGTGCTTGGGCGGCATCCACATGACTCTCGTGAATTGTCTCAAGTATCCGACCCTGCCAATTCCATCCTTCAAATAGGGGCACTCTTGAGTCAAAGGGAAATCATGCTGATAATCGTCTCCCAGGGACTTGGCATCTCCAAAGATAACTGGCATCATGTTAGTGTGGATATCTCTGGGTTCTGAGAACTCTTGGAGTGTCTTGATGGACACATAAGCCAACTTTTCATCCGAATCGGGGAGTTTCACCAGTTCCTCATATCAACTAGCTTGACGTCTTGCTGTCTTGCTCGCCATGGTCGATTTCGAGGGAATTCACAATATACTTGTTGGTTGTGCAACGATCTCCGATGACAATCCTCACGATCGACTGGTCTTTTGGGACGAAACCGAGACGGGGCCTGTGCAGAACATGGCCCGCCCAGGGAGAGGTGACAAAGCCTGCTTTTCTTACGATCACAAGTCCTTTCAAGTGTTTCGATTAGGGAAGACTTTTTGGGACTCTCTCTCTCTCTTTGCTGCTCGACGATGACATCCTTTGATGACAGTCTCATTCAAGTGTTTGGAAGAATCTCAGCAATAAACTGGTCCATTGCTTCGAGCTTGGAGGCACCGTACCCGTAGGGAAGTAAATGTGCTGTACCAAGGTACCTGGTATCTTCTTTCTCTAAAAGGCAGCGCAACAAGCTGTCTGGATCGCGAACGCCAAAAGGGTTCGTCTGCAAAGATCCTTGCCATCTATGGGTCTCCAAGTGAAACGGCGTATACGGCAGGCGCCAGAGCGGGAAGAGGAACGGAACGGAGAGAAACGGGCTTTTCTTTCTTGTCGCTACTGGGTGTTGGCAGTGTTGCAAGCACCTTCTTGCACCTTCCGTTTGTCGCTTCTTTCGTTCCATGGTGATCGATGTGATATCCCTCGGTTGTGTTCACCTTTCGGTATGGTATCCACAACGACAGGTGGCTTGTTTATGATGATGATCGCTTCGCCTTTGTGTTTTGCGGCTCGAATGCTACCAGGCCAAACCCCCTTATATATATTATTATTTGCGACCACCATTATCGTGCTGGTTGGTCCCAGGCAGGGTTCGCTAACCGGTTTTTTCGGTTACCGGTTATTTGCCATTTGGTTACCGGTTGAATGATTTGGTTACTCAACCGGTAACCGGTACCCTAGCAGAACTGGTTACTCAACCAGTAACCAGTACCCCGTCGACTGGTTACCGAATCGGTTACTCAAATTGCCTTTTGGTTACCGAATCGGTTACTCAAATTGCCATTTGGTTACCGGTTGTTTGATTTGGTTACTCAACCAGTAACCGGTAACCGGTACCCTAGCAGAACTGGTTACTCAACCAGTAACCAGTAACCGGCACCCTAGCAAAACTGGTTACTGGTTGAGTAACCAGTAACCGGTACCCAACCAAACGGTTAGCGAACCCTGGTCCCAGGAATACCACCGAAAATAAACCACAATAAATACCAGTAATTAATAAATAAATAGTCCAAAACCGTGTTGGAATAATAATAGCTATTGGAATGATTGAAGATTCGATTGAAGATTGAATCATTCATCCAATCGGCTGATCGGTCCAGCAAAGCCAGACCCAGCTACCACTGTACAGTGTAGTACTCATACGGTAGCATGAAACAACATCACATCAAAAGCAAGCCACCAACCATCATCTCCCTGCTCTAAAGTAGATGTACTTTGTCACACTCATAGCCTTGATCGACAGCCACCTCTGCCATCAAGCCTCAGTTCATCTGAACACTGCACCACTATTCCCAGATGATAGCTCTGATACGCTAATGGTTTTACCTGATTTTTGAACAAACAGGTTTTCATATTTACAAGCCGGGGTTTGTGTTCTTAAATCTTAATTCTTGAATCCCAAATCAACAGTACCATCAAGAATTCTTCGGGACCATCAAGAATTCAATGGCACGATCAAGGGTTCTTTGGAACTAACAACAAATCAATGCTACCATCAACAATTCAATGGTACCATCAGAGAGACAGCGAGAACGTTACTAATTGGTCCCCCAATTTCCAAATCTTTTCACATGATTAGTGAATATTTGCCACATGATTACCGAATGAAAGTATCCTAACTGACGTTAATTGTAATAGACCCACAATGGTTAGACTTAATCCCTAATCTTTGGGCCTATTAAGTTATGAGACTACCTATTTTGGAATGATAGTGACGAATGCAGAATAGCAATGCGGATTCGCAATGGTAGACAAGAAAGTACAAAGGGTCTATCTAATAGCTAATAAGTCACATTGTAACACATTTTTTCTAACGAATTAGTTGTTGTATGTACCACCTGGACCAATTTTCTAGTTAAACTTCACAGCGTTGCTTGATCAAGTCCATGCATCTCTCTTTTTCCC